TATTTTTATAATCAGAACTTTTTTTTCCGTATTCACTTTGGTCTATATACCAAGTAAATATGAAAGAAATAAACAAAGAAAAAAACGGGCAGTTTGCCGTGCACGAACCTCAACGGCTAAGTATAAACTGTTTCTATAACCGAAAATATTCTCCTTGCTCTTTTACCACTAACACGGAAAAAGACATGGAAAAACACTACCGGAAAGAACATTACCAAAAGGAGGCCATCCGTGGATAATCTCCAAATTAAAGGTATCCTTACCTCTCGAATTGAAACTAGGGAAAAAGGCAAGGAGACTTATTATTACGGATTTTTTAAACTTGAAAGCCAAGAAGGAGAAATCCCAGTAGTGTTTAAAAACAAACCTGATTTAAAAAAGGGTTGTGAAGTAAAGTTAGTCGGCAAATGAGCCAACAGCTCCAACCACCGACCATCCTTCACAGCCACTGCTTACCAACTCCTTGCCGATCCACCCGAACTAACCCCCAAAGAACTCCGCGAGCAAATCCACTCCCTCTTAACTCCCTCCCTCAAAGAGAAAGCCCAATGAACCCAAACCGTCGACTTTCTCTTTAACAAACTGAAAGCCTTAGAAAAACTCGAAAAAATGAATAAACTTGGTGCAACCTACCTCCAAGCTTACCTCCTCACTAAATCAGCCCGGTACGCTAACTACCAAACCGAGCTCTTAGCCAACACTAATTTTAACCAAGCCAAATACTTAAAAACCTTAGCTTGGGAATTAGAACCCCTGGAAAAGCAAATTAAAGCCAAAGAAAACCTAACCAAGCAAGCCAGTCAAACCTTAGACACCTTTGCCCACCAAGCCATCCAAACCATGACCGAAGCCTTAGCCGAAAAAGACCAAATCATTCATGAATTACGGCAAAAGTTAGCCGAAAAGGAGGTCTCCTGTGCCTAGAAACCCCAAAACCCAAGCCCAATTACAAAGGGAAATCAACCAATTAAAGTCAGAAAACCAACAATTAAGACTACTTTTGCACACGATTGTTTTGACGGCTAGCCAAGCCGTGAACAGAGAACCCGAGCCAGAAAGTGAACCCGAAAAGGAGACCAACCATGAATAAACTAAACTTCACCCTCAGCTTAATTAACCTTGCTCTCTTGCTGACCCTGCTCTTTTGAGCCGTTAACAAAAACTGCTCCCGGTGTAAACAAGAAATGAGTCTCAAAAGAATATTCACCCTCAAAGACAAATGCCAAGACTGTGAACGAAGCCCTTTGGCTTTTGGTAAAGACAAAGAAAGGAGGAACCATGAATAACCAAAATCAACCCAAACCCCGTAAAATCCACGAACTAATCGGCAAAGTCCTCTCCAAAGACCTGAAAAAAGTCTACGACAAAACCAGCCCCCACTTTGGCTCCACTTTTTACCGACTAAATGTTGCCCTGGAAAATAACCCCCTCGATAAAATCTACGTCTTCCAAAACTACGTAGAAAAAGAGCAAGTTTGAAAGGACGTTATCGAAAGCCACTACATCGACCAAAGATACGTCTTTTTTTGCTCCCGGAGCCGAAGGACAGGACATTACCATTTAGCCAATTGAAGGGTCTTAAAGCCTAAGGAGGTCAACCATGGCTAAAATTGAAAAACACCTCAAATTCACCTGCCCCCAGTGCTTTTCTACTTACCAATTGCTAGAAATCCACGAACAAGAGAATAATCCTTGCCAAGCTAACTGCCCAGAACAATGACAAGCTCTCTTAAATAAGCACTACCAAGATTGTATCATTCTTAACCTAGCCCGAGAGGAAGCCCAAAAAGACCAGGAGGAACCCCAATAATGAACTGAAACCACTATTGAGCCAAAACCCCCCACCAGCCAAAAATAGCCATGAAGAAACACAGCCAATACATGGAATACCTCCAAGACAAAAACCTCTCCCCGAACACCATTGCCTCTTATCTCAATGTCCTCCGACCCTTCCCAACTAAGTTTACCACCAACCAAGTAAAAGAGTATTTCAAAACTAACCTGCCAAAATACCAAGCCACCACCCTCAAAGTCCAAAAGTATGCCCTCAATTCCTATATCAAATTCAAGAAACTCAAAGTCGAATGAGAAAAGATTGCCCGGTTAATCCCCCAAACCCAAAGAAAGTTCTTTGATACTATCAACGAAACCGAACTAAAAAAGCTCAAAGAAACCAAAGTAGAGAAGAACCCAACCATCCATGCCCGGAACAACTTAATCTTAGATTTCTTGCTCTACTCGGGTGTTCGGATTAACGAGCTAATCCATATCAAACACTCCGACTGACAGGGCAACCAACTCAAAGTCCACGGCAAAGGGAATAAGGTCAGGTATATTTTCTTACCCGAGTTCTTAATTAAACACTTAAACCCCACTAAACCAGACTACTTATTCACCAACCAAAGAGGCAACCCCATGAAAGCTGAATATATCCGGTGGCTCTTAAAAACCCGAACCCACCAAGCTAATATTCCCAAAAAAATCACTCCCCACACTTTCCGACGAAGCTTTGCCACTCTCCTCTACCAAAAAGGAGCTCAATTAATGACTATTCAAAGACTATTAGGACACAGCAGTGTCCAAACTACCGAGACTTATATTCACAATGACTTTGCTTATCTTTACGGGGATTATAGTCGGCTCTGATTAAGCCAAGGAGACCACCATGCTTAAATTTAAATTCAACTACCTCCACAACACCTTAGCCATCCACCAAGAAGGAAATATCTGAAACGAACGAGACGCAAGCCAACAATTCGAAGGCAGCTTTGGCGGAGTAGGGTTTAAACTCGACACCGGCTGAATTAGCTTTAATGTCTACGAAAACAAAATTAGAGTGTTTTATAAACACTTTGACACTCCCACTTGGTTTACCCATTACCGGAAAGATTTACCCAGAGAGTGCCCAGTAATCTTTACTTTCACGGATGCTGACATCGTGGAAAAAGTGAACGGCAAATGAACCAAGAAAGAGGAGGTCAACCATGCTTAATTTCTCCTTAGCGTTCCCTTCAAATTCACCCTCTCTAACTCTCGTGTTCGACGAGACCTACGGAGCATGAGTTTCCAATGTGTCCGTAAACCGTTCCTTGTGGCATTCCCTTCGGGAGATACCAACCGAAAGGAGGAACCATTAACGTGCCAGGTCGGAAACCCAAACTATCCCGGTATGCCCGAACTATCACCATCCGAGGTGGTGAAGAAGTTTACACCCGACTACCCAAACGAGAATACGAACAAAGGAGAGAATTATTTGACGACCCGGATTATTCGAACCCTCCTACCCACTTAGCCGACTATTCCTATGACGAGTGAACCGAGTGAGGAGCCCAAGGAGGTCGTCCTCGTCAGTGAGCCAACGATGCCGAACGAAAAAGAGCCCAACGAGCCCAACAAAAGCTAGCCCAAGGTTTACCTCTCACTCACCAAGAAAAAGAACTCTTAGGCTTAATTAAGAAAAGACCAGGTGCTTACCAAACCAATCTCGGCAGAGCCATGACCCCAGCGGAAAGAAAAGCTAAATGGAAAGCCCAAAGGAAAGGAGGCAATATGTAAAATCACCAACCCCATTGTTCCCTGCTCGGAGCCAAGAAAAAAACTACGGAAGCATAATCAGTCTTGAATTCTTGGTTCCCAGGAGGAAATAATCCTCTGGTCTTTCACTGGTCAGACCTTAAATAAACCAGTCTCTTTCAGTTAATGTCCCATTAACAAATTCTTTGAAAATACTTAATCACTAAGCAAAACCCACTCAACCCAATCAGCAAAAGAGAAAACAATCGACCCTCGTTTGAACGGAGCTGAAAGCAACCTGGTTCAGCCAGACCATGTGATTAGGCAATAGTATGAATAAGCTGACAACGTTCAGCTGAATAAGTGAAATTAGGTTTATGTTTGCTAATTAAGTTGAACCCAGTAAGCCGAACAGGTTTTTTTCGGTCGGGCAATAATTAAAAAGTCGAGGGGGAAGGGGGTTTTAATTTTCTTATTCCCGAGGGGATGGTATAGGTGGTTTGATAAGAGTTTATATTTAGGGTTATTTTTTCCCTTCCCAAAAGAGAAACCCAAAAAGGAAAGAGAGGCCAAAAATTTGGTTAAGCAAATGGCCATTCTCTCTTGCTAAACTTTACCCAATAAATCCAAAAGATTAACACAGCATCTTTCTCGTGGTCGTTTAATTGCTTCCCCTTAAAAGTTCAGATTTGCTTGGGTCGACCTTTCCCTTGCACTTCTTGGCAAACTAATCCAGCAATTTTTCCTTCTTTGGCTTGGGCTTCCCATTTATTCATGTATTGATTGCTGACTGGCACATACTCAATCCCTAATTCTTGGGCTAAATATTCACAATGTCCTACTAGTTTGATTAGGTTGTCGAAATGGTAAGTATGGCTTTGCTTTTGCCATAGAGTGCTGACTTCACAAGCCAAAATATCTACCTTTTCTTTTTTGACCAAGTTTTCCAGGTTTTTAGCCTGTTCTAGTCAGTTTTCGGAAGTAAAGGAGCTAATTTCCCACTTACTCCAATTCTCGTAAAGAAATATCCCAGTAGTGGAAGTGCCGGAAGGGTCTAAGGCTAATATTTTCATAAGTTAGTTTTAATCCAACTTACCAAACCGACCAATAAGACCAAGTCCTTAAAGTTTTGCTTATTTGTTCAGCTCTGATAGGCAAACATAAGCCAAGACAAAAAACCCTGTCAAAATCACTCTATTTCCCCTTTGCCAACTTTGCCCGAGTTTCTGCCCTCCTCCTTTTTTAGTTTCGGTTATTGGCTGTAGTTCTTTTTATAGGACTTCTTTATTTTCTTTTTTTCGTGGGGTTCAGAAAAAGTTTATTAACTAAATTTGAAGTAGAATTATAGGCAGAGCCTAAAAAATTCCCTAAGCAAATTTACTGTTAACTTTCTTAATTCCCCATTCAAGAAAAGAAGCGAAAGAAGCAACGAAAAGAAAATAGGATAACCTGGTTAAAAAAGGGTAAGGGTCGAAAGGGCTTTACGAAGTAAGGGGGCTGGTGGATTTGGTTTTGGTTAGGGGCGAAAATGCTTTTGCTAAAGCAAAAAGTTTTCTTAAAAATATTAGTATTATGACGGGAAACAAAAAAACCCTGGCTTGCCAAGGGTGCCGGAAGTGAAAAGCTGAAGCAGAGTTGATTATTAGTGCCAAGGGGGCTTTTTGTGAGGATTGCCATGAGGATACTAAGTAAAAATAACTATTATGGAAAAAAAAAGCTTCAAAGAATACTTAGCCGAAATCGAAGACCCAAAAAACAACCGAGAAGTAAACCATTCTTTACCTGAAAATCCTACTCCTTTACAAGTAGCAAAATATAAACTCTGTAAGAAAATACTAGGCTATAAATTAGACCATGAACTAACTCGGGAACAAATGGTCGAAAAAATTGGCATTAGCAAAGCTGAAATAGAAGATATTCTTTTTTGTTGCATTGAAGAATTTACCCTCGATAGGCTGGTTTCCTATGCTAGCAAAATTTTCGAACCTTTAGAATTAGGAATTACCAGAGCTAAAGAAAAAGAGCCAATTCACCTAAATGGTTAAAAAAGAACAGACTTGAGAGTATTCTTGTTTCTTTCTTTTTAATCGGCAAAAGATATTCAAATTTACCTTAACTGACCACTACCAAGAAAAGCATCCTGAACTTAGCCGAGAGTTTATTGCTAAACTATTCTTAAAATTAGGTCAGGAAGAAAGAATAGAACCAACTAACTACAAAGGCAAGAGGAAAGTCTACAAGTGAGAAACAACCCAAGAAAGCAAGAAGTATCGTTTTATTTTCTGATTTAAGGATGATAAAGAGACAGGGATTCATTTATGGATTAGGAATTGTTATCCTATTGATTAGCTTTCTTTAAGGCAAAAAATTTCTTATATAATGAATAACCAAGACCCGAGATACCAAAGACTTCTCCCCATCCTTAACTCCCCAGCCCAAGAAATCAGCATTATCTTTGGTCGGGGCTCTGGTAAATCTTACGGCACTAAATACTGAATACTAGAAGGAATAGAAAAGCAAAACAAAGAATTCATCTGACTAAGAAGACAATTCGACAGTATTCGCACTGGCAGCCTAGAAAGTTGAAAAAGAGTAATCAACTCCTACTGCCAACAAAACCAAGTCCCCGAGAAAGATATTGAGTTAGTTTGAGATGCTATCACCCGAGGAGTAAAATATCAAGGAGTAATGAAGTGCTTTATGGTGGAGTTATTTTCTAGCTATAAGGCTAGGGAAAACTACACCCAAACCATTAGCCATATTGTCTTTGACGAAGCTATCATTAATCCCAAGACGGGAGAAGACTATTTGGAGGATGAGCAAGAAAAGATTAAGGAGTTATTGGGTTCAGCTTGGAGGGATAGAGATAATGACCCGAAACCTAAATTAATCTATATTGCTAATCCTTACGAGAGATTTAGACCTTTTTTAGAGGACTTTTTGCCAGTGATTAGAAAGCAAAGGAGCAAGTTATTAGGGCAAGTATTGGGTAATGAGTTGGTGAGGTTGGAGGCTGGCAAGAAAGAGCTGTATTTGTTTAAGAACACCACTTGCCAAAAGGTTTGTGAGTGTGAGTTGGAGAATTGCTTGGAGTTATGGCAAGGGTTCTTTGCCAAAGAGGAAGATTTAAGGATGTGTGAGTTTGTGAATGGTTCGAGGGCTTTGTTTGTGTTTAGTGGGTGTGTTTTTTATCAGGCTAAGGCTGGATATTGGTTTTTTGTTCACCGAGACAGCAAAGATATTTCTAATAAGGAAGATTTGCCCTTGGTGAAAGAATACTGTCTGACTTATGAACAAAGGTTGAAAAGTCAGCAAAAGGTGAAGTGGGATTATAGTGAGGAGTTGTTGAGGGAAGAGTTGTTGGGAAAGTGGGAGAGGGGGAGGTTGTTTTTTGTGGATAGTCAGAGTAAGGAAGTGATAATGGAATTCCTCGGCAAAGGAAAAGTCAAGCAATCTAGCAGAATATTTGAGTAAATAGTTTTTGTGGTTGGTTTAGGGGTTAGTT